TAAGTTCTTTGGGTATTTTCTTTTTTTTTTTTGCATATTCCTATGATTGTTTATGTATATCGTAGGAATGATTGTTTTTTTATGTATGTTTGATTGTTTATTTCTTGTTCTCTCTCTTTCCTTTCTCTTTCTTATCTCTATGTCTTTCATTTTCTTGTTACACTATCTCCAACTTTCACGCCATGCTGAATAGGAGTGGCAGAGTAGAATTTCTTGCCTTTTTTCCCAGTAGGAACAGGGAAACGCCTGTCTTTCAGCATTTAGTACAATGTTGGCCATAGGTGTTTTTTCTTTATGAAATTGAGGAAGCTTTTCCTCTCCATTTCTATTTTTTCCCAAAGGTTTTACTCCTGCTTTTCCTTTCATTAATGGATACCTCAGACCAAGGCTAAGAGAAAGCTTATCTACAGAAGACTTATGTGTTGTTGTTCAGCAACAGGGAAATTAGAAGAGTGTTCCTGACAGCCTTTCGGACTAAAACTCTTAGCAAAGTACAGAAATCACCGAGTATATTGCTGTCACCCCCTTCCCTTCACGCACTCCTCACACAGCTTTTCAAGAGGTGTTTCACATCCCATAGTGCTGGCAGCAGTCCATAAACAAGATGCCCAAGTCACTCAGGCTGGAAGTCACATCACTCACCTGACCTGCTCAGTCCTATGAAATGAAGGATGATGATCTTGAGTGTGCTGGCTCTCTTCTCACCCCCTCTGGGGGGGTGGTACCAATCACCACCTGTCAAGAACGCAGCTGTCACCTCCATGACTAGCATGTACGGAGAACACACCCAGGCACCACAGAAGTTCAGGAAGAGGCATGCCCTCTGTAGTGGATGGAAATTCAAAGTCTGTTTAAAGATGTGATGTAGGTGCCCACTGAGAAAGGCACTGCCTGGGTGTGAGGTAGTCTGCAACTCATGGCTGAGAAATACTACAGTGGGCAGCTATCTCCAAAGACAGTAAGATGGTTTCATCCCTTAAAAATCCTGTCTTGCTTACTTGGGAAATCCAGCCAGCTGGAACCCTGGGCCCAGAAGAATGGTTATAAGCTGCTACAGTGGCTGTTCACAGCCTGGCAAACAGTATACCCCAGTGTGACCTCCTTATATTGAGGGCTGAAAGTGGCTGGTGTACACTGAGGAAAGAGAGCTACTGGGGCATTCGGGCATGCTCTGGTGGCTTTACGCAGCTGTCACCCTCACAGGAGAGGGGCCCCACTAGGAGAGCTTCAGGAGGCCATTTTGGTCCTAGATACTTTATAGTTGTTTTGTAGGGGAGCCCCATCACAGGTCAAATACTCTCCTGACCCTGATGGCTTAAGCTCTACAGCACTTCACCACCTGGGAGAATGCGAGGCACAACCATTCAATAAAGTATTCTCAATAGCAGCTCACCCTTCGCCCCAGCTCCTCCATACGGGGTAGAGACCTAATATAGCCTTCCACAAGGAGCAGAGACAGAGCGACCTCTACTGGCAATTATGTCAAAGGTTGCTCTCAAAGAGGCCCAATAAGGCAAGCCTTATCCAAGCTGGTTGTAGAAGTTACAACTGCTTTCTTAACTGGCAGTGTCTGGTAACACCTTAAATGTTACATATCCCAAGAGATCTTTTTTGTTACATGGATAAAGTTGGGATCCTTTTTGTTCAATGTTCCTAGAGTGCTTGTAATCCTTTATGATCCCTATTATTATATTTTATTGCAGTTATTTGTCTGTTTTACTAAATAGGCAGGGATTTCATGAAAGCAAGAATCATGACATTGTTGTTGAGCCCTGTATCAAATATGTCTGGTGCCTACGATAGTGCTAAGATACACACATTAACAAATTGAGCTATTTATTGGGTCATCAGAAAAGTCATGGCAGGTGCTAGTTATTGGGTCATCAGAAAAGTCATGGCGTATTTTTTATGTTTTTCTATGCAAAAATGTGTCATGACTTTTCCTAGACCCAATATGTATTGGTTCATAAATGATCCACTTATCTGATTACCCCAAGTGATCCCTGGAATTTCTTTGGCAACCTGGGATCCTCCTTTGTGACTCCTGAACCTCCCCATGATCCAGGTTAATGTTGGGTCAGGTGTGTGTGTGGGGGTCCTCAGTATTCTGCTTCAGTCCTAAGGGTTGAGAGGATTTGGGTTTAAGGATGTGGTCCTGAGTCAATTCATGGCAGAGTTCAACAGAAAGGGAGATAACTTCACTGCAAGATGGGAAATATCTTGTCACATCACCCATGAAGCAAGTTGTGAACGACAGTGTGATCTGTAAGCCACTTTTGGAGATATTAAAAAATACCCAAAAAAGATCTGTCAGGGACCAGCAGTTGGTGTAATGGCTATGTTGCCAGACTCCCATGTAGTTGACCACGGTTCGAGTCCCAGACCTAGTGGCTTAAATTCACGCCAGGCATGTGTGTGTGTGTACCCAAGATCCTGAGAGGAGAATGGAGGAGAAGGGATTGAGATGTGGCAAACCCCTCCCCCCGGAGGGGGTGATTTCTCGCTTTCTGTCTCTCTGGCGAGCACACGCACCCTCTAGCAAAAACCTCTGGAGGGAAAAAAAAGATCTGTCAGAGAAAATAAGACCTTGGTTGCAGAAAAGGCAAGGAAGAACTGCCTTGGAGTTGTGATGATTCTACAAGAACACTCACTGTGTATAATCGGACCAGAGTTGATATACAATAAAAGAGGCATCGATCTTGATAGAAGCTATAAGCAATGATGCATTCTATGGAAAAAAGCACATTCAAAAGGAGTTGTGGTTATGGTTTAGGTGTGCTGAGTAAGCTCGGAGCTTCTGACCTCATTCATTCACCCATAGAATCAGGGATGAGCTTGAACTATTTTTAACAAGTGATAGACCATAAGGAACATTTTCTTGACCTGATATTTTCTTTCTGATTCATTGGTTCTTTTCTACCAGGCCCTTTTTCTCTATGAACAAACCATCTAGGATGATGTACTCATCCTTCTTTTATGGTTTTATCCATTAAAAACTAGGTATTTGGGGGCCAGCAGGTGGTGTGTTGGGTAAAGTGCTGGACTCCTCCATGGCCAACTGTGGTTTGAGTCCTGGATCTTGCTTCCTCACTTTCTCTCTCTCTATCTCACTGTCTCTCTCTTTCTGATGAGCACAAAAGCCCTATGATTTAATAATAATAATAATAAGAAAAGTAAAATTGAGTATATATATTTTTAAAAAAGAATTAGGCATTTGATCATTAGGGACACGTTCTTTTGGCAGCTTCAGTTATTTGCATTTCTTTATTAATTACATTGTACATCTTGTTCCCTCTCATAGTTTTGGCATTCCTACATCAAAGCAAGTGTTAATGATTATCCAATTATTATCCAATTTTCAATATTTCTATATAATCTGATTATTTTTTAAAAAATTTTAATTTTCATTTTTATTCTAGTTCCATCCTTTGGGGAACCAAATCAGTAATGCAAATGGGTTTCACTGCCTCTCTAGTCACTTAGCAGTAATTACTCCAGTCTTGTTTTGAGGGGGGATTTGAGGCTATCAAAGCACAAGGGGGCGCTGTGACATATTGATGTGTGCAAGAGTGAGGCTAAGAGGAGTGGGGTCATTATTCATGCATTCTCATAGGTGACCCTTTATCTAATGCTTCTCTTTCTTCTTTGTATTTTGTTGTGCTTTTTGGTGTTTTCTTAAGGAACAAATGAATACTTGAGCTTAAGAAGCAGAAGCTTACAAATTCTAATGACCTCTTTGCCAATGACAAGATGGCCCTGAATAAGATTATAAATACTTTAAATCCTCCTCTTGGTGAAATGTCTTTGAAATATTTAAGTTTGGATTTGATATTGCTAATCATCTTTGTGTTATTTTTGTAGGCAGCACTCAGCATATTTGGCATGGTTGGTGGACCGCTTCTGGGCTTGTTTGCTTTGGGCATTTTGGTTCCCACTGCCAACTCCATTGTAAGTACCTAGAATGAGCGTGTGCAAAGAAGACTTTCTCAACTTCAGCAGATTGCTTGTAAAGATGTGGTACCTTTGAGATCTGTCATTAGCAGCTTGTCTGGATGACTTTGGTTCCTCAAATTGCCTTTGAGGAGTATACAAGGAAGTACAATGCATCGAGACCCTGCAGATGGGAAGATAAACAGAAATTGCTACAACTAGATGGTGCAATTTTAAATATCCATTGTATAGTTAACTTTTTATACATTTGCTTTCCTGCCCTTCTTAAAAATTAGTAGCTAGGATTGTTGAGTGCCTAGAAAAGTAATAAGAGTTGATATTTTTTAAATGAAAGAGAGAGTGTGAGGGGGAGAGAGAGAGAAAGATATTTTTGACAGGGTCTAACCACTTTGTGATCCTTCTTGCCCCAGCCTTCCAGTCAGTTAGGACTGTAGGGACATGACACCATGTTCAACCTCTTCAGGCTGGTGTGGGAGTTGGGAATTCAACTCAGACTTCCAAATGCAACCCCTGCCCTTGTGCAGTGGCACCTTCCTGCTTGTGCCACTAGGACTGGGCTATCAACTTTTGTTGACACCATGAATTCCCTCTAGAAGATCTGTAACTGCCTAGGTCCAACATGCCCTTTCTTGGGGAGAAATAAGATACTATTATTCCTGCATGGGAAGTACCTCTTGTTACCTCATAATCAAGTGTTTTATCAACAGATTATCTGCCTTCCCTGGCAGTGGGAGTGACCTTCTTCGTGCCATTTCTCCCTCCCTCCCTGTCTCATTGCCAGTCATTTAATGAAGATTTAAGGACTGAGCACTGTCTTGGGAGTAGAAAGCACCAAATGTTTCTGCCCTGTGATTTCTATAAGTTTGTGGATCTTTGATCCAGCCATGTGCAATGCTGAGAGTAAGCTCAGTCTGGTCTGTCAACATCTGGCCACCCAGCCTCACATTATTGCAACCTCGTATTATTCAACAATATTTATCAAGTTCCTGCTATGTGTGCAGCACTGTGGTGAGTGCTAGAGTACCAAAACCAAAGAAACCTAATTCTGCTCTTAAGGAGTTCACAGCTTATGAAAAATGTCACAGTCCTACCCCCACAAAAATCCTCTGATCTGGCCAGCAGCGTTTTCTGTGTCCCACCAACATGCCTTTCCTTTTCCGACCTTGTGACTTCATTTCCACTTTCCCCCCTTATCTCGAATACTCTTCCTGTTCCTTTTTACAATGCCCAAGGCTCAGTCTGCCTACCTTATCATTATTCCTATAAGAAGGGGGAAAATTCCACCATAGAGGAAGAAGCTTCCAGCTCTAGATTAGCTTTTGCCCCCATCATTTGGAAGGAGGGGTTATATCATTCAAAGCCTGGTGGGACGGTTGGCTTACTGGTGAAGAGGTGGAACCTGTGTCTTTTAGAGATTGGGAAACCTATGGTATTCAGAGGACCATCTGGCCAAGTTCTCCCTTTTCCATTTGTTTTGTCTCTAAAGATACTTGGTTTGGTTGTGTGCACTATTGCAGTCTCTTGTAAAAACTGCTGGCTGGCAGTTTTTAACATAACATCCCCATAACATCTTACAGTGCAAGCACAGTCGTGCGTTGTTAAGTATAGGGATAAACTGTGTGTGTGCTTTCTTTTTCACAATCTGTTGCTCATATGGCATGCCGTGTGTTCACAGACTAAATAAAAATTGACAGTATTATGTGCCTGGAGTCAACTATGTGACTGGAGTTGTTTGGGTAGGGAGAGACGAGGAGGTCAGAGTGCTGGTCATGGAAACAGAATGGAAAGAATGGAAGGACGACACATTTGAAAAGAAAAATGGGCAGGAATTGGTGATTGACTAGAGAAGGATGTAGAAAAGGGAGTAGGATTACAGGGTCTCCAGGGCTCTGGGCTGAGGAACCAGAGGCCTGCGGTGCCTTAACAAGATATAGAGATATTGCAGGGGAGAATCGTTTTAGGAAAAGAGTGGGTATTGATAGGTTTGTCATGGGCCATGTTGAAATTAACTTTCCAATGTTAATTTCCTTCTCAAAACAAATTGTATTATTTTTCTTTTAATAGCACTCTTGTTTTGCAGGGAGCACTCGTTGGCCTCATGGCTGGGTTTGTTGTTTCTTTATGGGTTGGAATTGGAGCTCAACTTTACCCACCACTTCCTGAGAGAACTATGCCATTACCCCTGGAAACCCATGGCTGTAACAGCACATACAATGCGACGGATTTGATGACGACTACAGAAATGCCATTTTCTACTAGTGCTTTCCAAATCCACAATGTCGAAAGGTATTGAATTCTGTTTTATAAAATCACATTTAAAGAAATGTGTGACAAATAGAGAACTGCAGTTGTGTTTAGTCTTGTGTACGTACACACTGTGACTTTGCTAACTCTGAAATGGGGAGAGCCCTTGTGGCTAGCTATACGATTCTACTCGGCACTAGCGAAGGGCGCCATGTTTTCTTAATTTCTATAGAGATTTCTGCCTTGTCTACAGATTTGGAGAAGACTTGAATTTTAACCCTTAAACATTGTATTATAGTAAACTCCTGAACACCAGCTCTGCTGCATGCAGAATTGTCTTTGTAAAACATTTAAAGTACAATTATAAATGAAATATTGCTCATATAGTTTTTGAAATATAGCCTTTTATGATTAATCACTACAGTTGTTTCAATATCTTGAATACTTGCTATTTGTTCAAATTAAGATTCGGAAATCTTTAGAGCACTGACAGTAAGTTGCACCTGTGATCTTCCTGCTAGAGTGTTCAATGACACAGTATACCTTCAAGCCTCTGGATACTGAGGACGTCTGATGAATGAGATGATATAGATCTGTGAGGGATGTGTCTTTGTACAGTGGGTATGAGGACAAGACTTTCTTTTGTGGATATATTAATGTCCAGCCTGAAAGCACAAACACAGTGGATATGTTCAAGGAATACGAAACTAAGAGTGTTGCCTTCAGAGTATTGCCCTGGTGCCAGCTTGTCTACCATAATACCAGTAAGAATCATTCCTTCGCGCAGAGACATAATATCTCTCTCTTACAATGGACTCACTCCAGGGATTAATTTATGATACATGTAGTTATTATTAGAGATTTACATCCTGAAGTGAATTTAGCTATCAGAATGCTTGCCAGGCACTCCAGGGGAGTTCATGGCAGGTAGCTCTACAAGAGGCAGAGTTAACAGTAGTTGCAGAGACTGAGATGTGTTTGGGGGAGATTTGACTAGGTGCTGAACACACTAACTGAAGGGGTCTGGGAAAGTGACTAGAGAAAGTCAGAAAGGGAGACAAGATCAGTTGAACATTAAGTGGGAGGATATTGAAGATCTTCTTATTCCACAATTTTGCTTAGCATTTGTCCTGATGTGGCCTGACCAGGCCCTGTTAGGAGTATGGTTAGATGACCTTGCCTTCTCTCTGTCTCTCTCTCTTTCTATCTTATGAGCTCATACACTCTCTGGCAATAAAAGAAAGAAGAAAAGAAAGAAAGAGAGAAAGAAGAAAAGAAAAAGAAAGAAGGAAAGAAAGAAAGAGGAAAGAAAGAAAGAAAGGAAAAGAAGGAAGGAAGGAAGGAAGGAAGGAAGGAAGGAAAGAAAGAAAGAAAGAAAGAAAGAAAGAGAGAGAGAGAAAGAAAGAAAAAGAAAAAGAAGAAACAATGTGCAAAGGCATGATGGCCTGAAAACACATGGCAGCTTAGGAAATCACTCCTAGTTGATCTGGCTAGAGTACCAGGGCTGTGAGCAATACAGATGCAAATGTACAGCATGATTCCAATGTTATTGTAAAATTTCCTTTTTTTTCATGTGTTCACAAATTAAATAAAAAAAAAAGCAGCTGAGAAGGTAAAACAAACATATCACTTTGCCATTTTACTCAATACTTTTTCTGTGTATGTGGTCAGAATTTCTTGATTTTAATTAAGTTCAGTTTACCAGTCTTTTCCTTTGGTTGGTTCTTTATGTGTATTTCAGAAATCTTTGCATACTCTGAAGTCATAAAGATATTTCAATGCCTTTTCATTTCAAAACTTTACTGTTAACCATTTCCATTTATGAATTGTTATCCACTTTGGAATTGATTTCTGTGAGTAGTGTGATCAAGATCAATTTTTTCCCATATGGATATTTAATTAACCAAGCATCATTTACTGGAAAGATTCTCCTTTTGTCCCATTGCAATGCAGTGACTACTGAACTGATGTAAAACAAATGACTATTTTCCTGTGGATCGATTTCCGAGTTCTCCCTTCTGTTCTATTTGTCTGATGTTGGCCAGGACCACACTACCTCAACCTTATTATCTCTCTTCAGTGAGTTTCCCTTCTTTCTGAGCTCTAGGCCCCTCAAGTTCCCATTGTCTTGATCTCTCCGACATCTTTCATATCTCCAATATCTCCGATATCTTCATATACATGCTTCCTTCCCCATCCCCTAGTTTACATATAATTATTCTTGGCAGTATGGTTGGCCTGAATCAAATTCCTCTCTCAAAGCTGACTGTGGAATCTTAGAACAATCATAGGAATGATCATGAGTTGGTCATGTCACCCATCACTTAAGATTCCGCAAGCAGTGCCACTGCTCATAGGATACAAATCTCAACTCATACCATGTCCTGCCAACAGTTCCCTGGCTACCTTTCACCATGTACTACCCTGTCTTCTGTGTCAATGCTTCTGTACGCTGATTTTTCCCTCTCTCTGGGATGCTTTCTTCAAGAACTTTTTGTTATTCAGATCTTAGTTCAAATGTCATTTCTTCCCAAAGGCCTTTTCTAGCCACTCATGGTAGTGTAGAAATGTAGTCCCTCCTTCACCCTCTGTATGTCACATTGTGTTAAATTTTCCTTATGGCACTTAACACCAGTGGGTATTAGTATTATTGAATTATAAGGAAATAATGGTTTATTCAGCTCATAGTTTGAAGGTCTGAAGTCCAGGGACCAGCTTCCAATGACACGACCAGATGGCAGTGGGCAGAATCCTACAGAATGGATATCCTTAAGTTTCTCTATTATGTTTATTAGTTTACTTGCTTATTATATTTCTATCCCCATTAGAATGTAAACCTTATGTGAGGAGGAATCTCATTTCCCTAACTTATGACTGACGTGACAAAACAGTCTCTGGGACATAATGCAGAGTTGAGTGAAAACACAAAGACACTTCATATTTTGGTATATGGTCAGAGCAAAGTCATACTTTAAATAGCTGATCCAAAAACATAAAATTAGAATAGCTGGTGATGACATTAAAAACATTATTACATTTTATACTTTGACTTTACCACGAACTTGCAATTGCTGGTAGCTTTATATAAAATCTTACAGTCATACTTTGCTCTCTTTTAGGACTCCACTGATGGACAACTGGTATTCTTTATCCTATTTGTACTTCAGTACTCTTGGGACTTTAGTAGCACTATTGGTGGGGACGCTGATCAGTTTATTAACAGGTAACTATTGAAACATTGATACTGCATTTACCTTTCTCTCAGTTTTGACCGGATCTATTTTACGGCTAGTGATGTCATTTTACTATGGTCTTGTAAGCAACTAATTTCATTTTTTCTTCATTTTTTTCTCATGGAAAATGTGAAGGTCTAGATTTGAAAGCAGAAGACCAATTTCTTTTTGAATCCTGGTTCTGCCATTTAGTAGTTGCATAAACTTGGGGCAGTCACATGGCTTCTCTAGGTTTTAGCTTTCTTATATGTCAAATGAATTTAACAACTAACCTACCTACCTCACAGACTGCTAAAGCTAAAAACAGGATACTTTACAAACTGTGTATAACTACTACAATGCTAAAGATTATATGTATCTTTAGAATAACCCTTTGCTGTGGTCTTTCCATTGTCCTATACTGATTCCTTGTGAACCTTGTATACATATTCATGAAATAATAATTAATGACTAAAGGCTTTTTTTCAGATATTCATAAACTTTAAGTGGGATTTTAGAAAGAAAGACAGTTGATAATATCCATAGCATAAATTGCTGTCTGAGATTGCTGTAAAGCTCTTCTCCTAGGACTTCACTGTGTCCTCGTTCTGTGAATTCTCTTGGGCTCCCTCTCGTGTAGCGGTCCCTACTGCCTGCATCCTATCTGCCTCATTCTTTTTTTTTTTTGGAGAGGTTTTCGCTACAGGGCGTGTGTGCTCACCAGACAGAGAGAGACATAGAGTCAGAAAGCGAGAAATCACCCCCCAGGGGGGATGGTCACACCACAATCCCTTTTCCTCCATTCTCCTCTCGGAATCTTTGGCACACATGCACACGTGCCTGGCATGAGTTTTAAGCCACGGTTCCGGGACTCGAACCATGGTCAACTACGTGGGAGTCCAGCGACATAGCCATTAGGCTAACTGCTGGTTCCTGCCGCCTCATTCTTACCTACTCCCTTAATTGAATGGAGTGCATCCTATAGCATGTTCTTGAGAAAGGGTAGAGAAGAAAAGAGATTTTGGAGACTTTGCATGTCTAAAAAACTTTCTTTTGTGTTTCTTTTGTTTAACTGATCATTTACTTGGGTAGAGAATCTTAGTTTGAAAATGATTTCTCTGTTTTTCTGAGAGGACATCTTAATTGTTATCTTCTTCCTATGTTGTGGTTGAGTGTTAATGTGTAGTCTACTGACGCTTTGCATGTGACTTATTTCACAGTGCAATGACTGCCTTGCCCTAGGTTCCCAGTAGGGACTGAGGACACTTTCAACATAAAGACTTAAATCCTTCAATTCTAGGACATTTTTACTGATTTCTTTTATAATTTCCTGCCATTTTCTGTTTTCTATTTCTGGAAACTCCTACTAGTCAAATGTTTGAGTCTCGGATGGTTTCTCTAATTTTCTTGTCTGTTCTTCCTGTTTTCCATTGCTGTCTTTTAGGTCTACTGTATGAAAGATTTTTCTAATTATTTTCCAATAATTCTCAAAAAAGTCCTCTGATCCAGTTTTGAGAAGAGTCTGTGGGGTAATAGGGACAGATAGGAGGCTATTGCAGTAATCCAGGTGAGAGATCATAGTGACTCAGACTAGATAGCAGTGTGGAGTTGGTGTAAAGGGCTGGACTTGGGCTGGCCCCATGGCTTGGTTGTTGGGTGGTTAAGAGAGCTGAATCCTTCATGGCCCCAGGAGCTTAAACAACAACAACAACAACAACAAAATAAAAACAAGCCAGGAACATGTGTGTCTGTGTGTGCCTCAGATCCTGACAGGATGGAGAAATGGAGGAGAAAGAACAGTAACATGATCATGCCCCACTAGGGGGTGATTTCTCCCTTTCCCTTTCTCTGTCAAGTACCCATGCCTATATTTGTAATTGTAAAGTCTGTGGTTATCTGTTACATTACAAATAGCTGTTTTAAAGTATTCTCTTTCTTTTCCAAAAGAACTGTGCTTTGGGGCATTAATAAAATTTCTAGCACAGCAAGTTTGTCTGTTTTGGCATATTTATTTATTTATTTTTGGAGAGGTTTTTGCCACAGGGCACGTGCACTTGCCAGACAGACAGAGAGACAGAGAGACAGAAAGTGAGAAATCACCACCCAGGGGGGATGGCCACGCCACAATCCCTTCTCCTCCATTCTCCTCTCGGGATCTTGGGCATGCCTGCACATGTACCCAGTGTGAGTTTTAAGCCACTGGATGTGGGACATGAACCATGGTCGACTACATGGGAGTCCAGCGACATAGCCATTATGCTAACTGCTGGTCCCTATTTTTGCATATTTTGATACGAATTTTAAAATATTCTCATCAATTATTGAGTTGTTCAGATATGGAATAGATCTAACCAATACTATTGACCTTTGACCCTTAGTCAATCCAGTTTTTAATAGAAAGTGGAGTGTCCCAAAAGGAATACTCTCTTCCTCTTAAATGCTTTGATTCCAATTGTAACATGGAGCTTTGTCTTTTTTTTGGAGAGGTTTTTGTGATACGGTGAGTGCGCTTGCCAGACAGAGAGAGACAGAGAGACAGAAAGCAAGAAATCACCCCCTAGGGGGAATGGCCACGCCTCAATCCTTTCTCTTCCATTCTCCTCTCAGGATCTTGGGCACACATGCACACGCGCCCGGCATGAGTTTTAAGCCACTGGGTCTGGGACGCGGACCGCAGTCGACTACATGGGAGTCCAGCGACATAGCCATTACACTAACTGCTGGTCCTCGTGGAGCTTTATCTTTAGTTTTAAAAATGTTATGGTCTACCCAGGTGAGCAAGCATCTAATAATAAAAAAAAAACTTCAACTTAATTAACTTCATTGATCATCCATTCCTTTGCCCCTAATCAAAACTCTAGTATTTGTACTAAAGTGGTAGTTCTCAAACTTTAGGGCATAAAGATCATTTTGGAAATTTATTAAAAATCAGGATTTAGTGGTCTCCTCCCCAGAGGTTCTAATTTAATCAGTCCAGGCTGGAGTCCAGGAATCTGCATTTTAAGTATATCTTCTACATTATTTGGATAGAGGAAGTTTGAACACTACTTTTTGGGGTGCATGGAGTCTAAAAGCATCCTCTTTGAGCCAAAATAGAATATCAAATCAAAGAATAATTTTTTTTTTTTTTGTAAAGCTCAATCTTTTTTTTTTTTTTTGAGAGGTTTTCGCTATAGTGTGCGTGCGCTTGTCAGAAAGAGAGACAGAAAGTGAGAAGTCACCCCCCATGGGGATGGCCATGCCACAATCCCTTCTCCTCCATTCTCCTCTCGGGATCTTGGGCATGCACGCACACGTACCCGGCG